AACCCATTTATTTATTAGGCATTTTAATACAAAGTTTAGATGCCAAATATAATGGACCAATTGGGAGAGAGTGAAACATACAAACATACATAATTTTTTACGATGCAAGGTATTTTAATCTGCAGTATCCCTTTCTTATATAAGAAATAAACATACAAACATACATGATTTTTTGATAAATATGATAATATAATAACCATATATACAAGCCGCCTTCATCTCAACAACCAGAATTATAACAGAAGCACTCACGGAATGGCCAAATTCCCTCACATTTACCATATTCGAAACTCAACCTGTTACATTCCCTATCGCAATCATTGCATAAATCCACATCGATCGAGTAGCTGCATGTCTTCAACCCTCTTAATAGTGCATTTTAAACACAGAAATGAAAAAAAAAAAAAATTCTGAATATTTGATTAGACAACTTTAAATAAATCAGATCGCGCTCGCACACACATTGTGAAGCTCTTATTACCTTGACTTGAGAAGATTGGCTGCTGGATAAACGGTCCATATCTTCGAGATGGCGCCTGCTCATTTTTATTAGTAGCCAAAATAATTCCAACCTCCAAAAGAGGCTTAAGGTCACGGTTCTGGACTATCTCAGCTTTGATTACATCTACGCAACATGTACAGTGAATGTTATAGTAATGATGGATATATACAGAAATTTTTTGTCTATATATAGTTTTGTGATACCTATTGTGTATATCTCTTGTAAGTTAACTCTAATTTGTGTAGATATGCTTTCTCACCTCTAATAGCAAACATAAAATTCATCAAATTGGCATCTCTCTGGTCATATCGTTTTTGATTTATTGATAGGATTCCCACATTTTATTTAAAATAACAAAAAATCCCATCCATATCTCCAATGACATTGTAAAAACAAAATGACGTAAGAATATGAGAAATATGTTCCCTAATTAAGGTAAGAAGTTTGATATGGTACCGGAGGGAGCATTGAAAACAATCGCGAAAATGAAAGCAAGCTTCACCATACCCTGAGCCATGTCTCCGTTTAGTTCTTGTTGAAACCAATCAACTCTATAAGGCATTTATAAGGTTACAATCTGAAAAATAAAATGTGGACACACATAGAGAAAAAAACAAAATAGAAGATAAGAGAGCTCACAGTGGCTAGGCTACAAGTGTACAATGTAGTTTCTATCTTTTACCGCTTATGGCCCTTAAATTCTGAATCACACAAAAGTTGGTTACTTTGCACAATCCACACGTTTTTGTCTTTTGCTAGATGACTTTCTTTCACTTCAGAGACTCATAACAGGATTTTAAAGAGGAGCTCTTGTTTGTGTAACATGTTCTTATAAGTTGGATAGTACATCATCTTTGTAGTACATCACATGTAATATTTAACTAAACTCTTAACAAATTTTATATTTCGCTATAAGACTCTTTAACTGTTTATTTCTGTGACAAAATAGAGTTTTAAATTTGTTTTTTCCTCTATTTTAAAAAACCAATTATAGGTTGGTAATTTTGTTAACTGGGATACATTGCCAACCGTATAAATTTTTCAAGTAGGTTGTTGTGTCTTACCTAATCTCTCTTGTCGAAGAGCTTTCTTGAGCAGAAAACAAACATCCTCATTTTGCTCCGAGATAATTCAAAGCTTCTGAGTCTCTCTCTTGTGTATTTCAATATGTTTCAAATATGTTGATGGTTAGTATCATGAAAGGTCCAAGAGAGAATTCAAACCATCGACCTAATTGAAACATTTTGTGAAGGATCAGATCAATAATATCGTAATTTGAAGTCTTGAACAGAGTTCTTTTTCCCCGATTTTACTAAAAGGTTTCACCAAATTTTCATTCGACAATCGAAAAATTTCCCCAAAAATTATGCATCCTTTGAGCCTCCCGACAGGTTGGATCATACTTCTTGTATAGTGAACACCTCTCTACCTGCTCAACCTCGGAAAAAGCCTTTCAAGTTCATAAGCTACATCACCATTCACGCAAACTTCCTGACCTGATCAGAGACCTGTCTCTCACTCTCTCATCCAAAGCAAGAAACTCTTAAAAAGAACACAATTCAATTGAGCTACAAGATAGTTAATTTGATCATTACAGATGAGGAACGTATCAACTTGGAGGCCATCTCTTACTACCACCACATCCTGACTTCTCCATATTCAAAAAAAAAAAAAAAGTAAAGAATGAAGAAGTAACTTTTATCTTTTTTATTCATTTTCTTTCTAAATAATAAAAAAAAAGCTGTATCTAAGAAAATATTTTCAGAGACTTAAGAGGATCATGGTTTGATTTTCACAATCTTTGAAGGGCGATTTGAACAGCTGTGAGCTGGCGGAGAGTAACGCATGGAATCATTTTATGTATTCCCAAACTTTGTATGCATCATATTC